AATTTAAATTTAAATTTTAAATTTTTTTAGTGAACCGTTATTGTTGCAGTTTTTTTAGTGATTTATTTATCTGTTTTTTTGTTGTTGTTATTGCAACAACTTGTATTTTTTCTCAAAATACATGGTTTTTTTTTTGTTTGTAAATGAAAAATGTTGTTGTTGTATTTAAATACAACTTGTGTTGTTGTATGTTATTACAAATTGTTGTTGTAAAATAATAATGCTACTGTCCAGCAGCCATTTTAGTTTCTTCCTTCCTGAAAGTCACTCTCAACCCAAACTGTGCTCTTCTTCACTCCAACAAACGCCCCAAAAACACACTAGACTATTTATTTTTGTTAAAAAAAAGATTCTTTACAATTTTTAATTTTATTTTATGTTTGGAATGGTCTTAATTACTTTCACTTCACAATGCATGTCTTCGTCGTACTTTTATACGTTCATTTGACTTTTGCTACACTACGCTACCACCACTTGCGCGCGCTCTCTATCTCTATCTCTATCTCTATCTCTCCCTCTCTCTCTTTCTCTTTCTCCTGATTGCACTCGTTCTTCTACCTCCTCGCTTTACATACTTCCACACACATTGTCCCCTGGGCTTTCTCATGGAAATGCGCGCGCTCACATTTTAAGCGCCATTTCGTTTTCGTTTTTATTTTTTGTTAATTCGATTTTAAATGCATTTGCTCAAAGTAGGGGTCTCCATTTGATAGTTATCTTAGTAAAATTGTAGAAAAAAGAGGAATAAGTTTGAATGTACATATGTATATATGGTTGATTGAGAGCGCAGTGATAATATGTGTGGCAGTATGTGTTGTTGTTATAACAAACGCAACAATAAAATACCGTTATATGACTCTGGAACTGCACCTACACTCAAACGGCAACATTTGCGCATAATAATTGTCTAATAACGGCATAAACGCACACCCCTCCGCCCTAGCGGCCTGCGGCCACACCGCAACCATATACATCCTGCCGCTCAGAGCGAAAGCTAGCCACAATGCCATTAGCATTAATTCAATTTCCTGTACACAAACGCGTTGGTCAGCGCGCACACTTCCGTAACCGAAAGCGGACTTTGAATATTGGCAACAACAACAACAACTGCAACAACAATAGCAGCGTACTGGATAAACATGTTGTTTAATTTGCACTCGACCTTCGGCGGCAATGTCCCACACAATTTGCAGCCAAGCAGCTTAATTGGCATTGCCCTTGCCGTTTATACAGCAAAGTCACCCTCACCCCAGGACATCTTATAATCATCTATATTGAACAAATCTAGGATGTCACCGGGTGCGCCGAAGCTATCACTGCCCGCCGTGGTCATTGCGCTCTCACCCATGCCGCCCAAGCCCATCATGGTGCTGCCATCGCTGAGGCCACAAATGGACATTTGCTCGCCCATGCCCATGGAGTTGGAGTTGTTCGCCTGCATGCCGCACGTCGAAGAGCTGGCTGCGGCGGATGTTGGTGCGCTACCAGCCAGACCGACGCCGCTCACCATGCCACCGCCGATGCCCCCCAGACCCATGATGTTCTCGCCATTCACCAGGCAACCGCCGTTGAGCATGCCGCCGCCGCTGCCGCTGTCCGCACTGCCAAATGGATGTGGCGGTGTGTTGATGTTGGAGTCCGGCGAGAATGCGGAGAAGCTGAAGGAGCCTAGCGGATTGTCGAAATCATCGCACACATCCATGGGGGTGGCGTTGAAGTGATTATCGCTGTGACTGTGACTGTGACTGTGACTGTGCGTGCGCGTATCGCTGTCGTGCAGATTGAGACCGGGGTCGCCGCTGTTGCTTACCTCACTGCCATTACAATTGTTGTTGTGTGGACTGCCTGCGTTGCCACTTAATATGCTGTGATTGTGCGAGAGATTATTATTATTATTGTTGTTGGCAATGGCTTCTTGCTCGCTGACTTGTGCGAGCTGCGCCACAAAGCTCTCGGCATCGATATCCACGTCGGCGGCGCTCAACACGTCACGTGCGCAATTGTTGTGCTGCAATTGATGGTATTGCTGTTGTTGTTGCTGTGATTGTTGATGACTCTGCTGTTGCTGTTGTTGTTGTTGTTGTTGCAGTTGCTGTTGTATAAGCTCATTGATCGATGGCTGCAAGCTGGGATTCATGTCACGCCGCAGCCCATTTAGCGTGTGTGTGGCAACATTGGCTGCAGCCGTTGACGCCACCGCCGCGTCGCCGCCATTGGCGTTCTTGCCGTCACCGCTGGAATGATGTAAGTGCTGTTGGTGGACTGGATTAAGACCACCGCCGCCACCGTGCGCTGTGAAATTGCTTGCATCATCACCGATATCCATCTCCAACTGTTGCGACATCAACTCGAACAGCTCGAACTCATCAAAGTGATTAAGCTTGGCATTCGGACTGGCGACATTGTGTGACATAACCACCTTCTCGGGTGAACTGCTCGCCTTGCTCAGCATATCATGGTGCGTGGGCGATTGATGTTGTTGCAAGTGCACGCCAGGCGTAGACGCTTGCGGCGGCGGTGTGGAATGGTGTTGCTCCAGAAATATGTCCAAAGTCTTAGCCACGCTCTCGGCATCGATATGTGCATCCGGCTGTAAGGGCGAGGCCATGTCCATATTGTCAATGAAGCCGCTGTGTAGAGGAGAATTGATGGCGTTGGACGGCATATCATTGCCGCTGCCGCTCAGCAACTGAAACACGCTGTCCATGTCACGGTGTGCCTGCTGTTGTTGCTGCTGCTGTTGGCCACCAGGTGTTGTGTCCATCGGTTGCGTTACCATAGTGCTCTCCGGCATTGGGCTGCTGCGTGGCTCCTGTTTGGGCACGAGTGCGCCTGATGCGGCCAGCACGTCCGCGGCGGTTTGCAAGTTTGCGTTGGGGCTGAATATCAAATTGCCGGTCATGTCTGTCATAAGCGCATTGCTGCCGCCCGGCGTTAGCGGTGTCACGGGTGTGATGGGCTCTAGCATGCTTTCGGGCAGGTCACCCTGCTTGACGAGTATATCCAGCACATTGGTGACCTTCTCGGATTTCACCGGATTCTTGCGTTTGCTAGTCGTCTGCGTGGTCACCGAGTGAGTGGGCGCATGTGGTGTATTGCGTCCCGTGTTGGGCTCCTCTTTGATCTTAATCTGGGCTAGGTTAGCTTTGGCGGCCAATTGCTTAGTTGCCTCTTCGTATTGTGGCGGCGGCGGCGGTGGCGGCGGTAGGTTGTGTGGCTTAATATCCAGCTGTATGATTTGTTGTGTGGGCTGGAAGAGCCGATTGTGATATTGCTGCTGCTGCTGCTGTTGTTGTTGTAGTTGTAATTGTTGCAGCTGCTGTTGTGTAATCACTGGCTTTGCTTCGATCAGCTGATGCTGTGGCTCATGTCCGGCTGGCGTGGCGATCGGAAAGAGTATGCTCGGCAATGAGCTCGTGCGCTGATGTCCATTCAGAAGTTTCTTCGTAGCTGGACTGGCATTGGCCAGCGAGATATTGCCGATCGTGTGCGCTGTCATATGCTGATCGTTTAGTCCAACCAGGAATATTGTCTGATTGCCTTCGTTCCACACGAGTCCCAGATTGTTGTGCGTCTTCGCCGTCAATGGTATTTGATTAGCGAGTATTGTTGTTGTTGCGGCGACGTTATTCGTATTGGCAGCATTTGTATTGCACTTATTCATAGCGTTGTTATTGGAATTCTTTTGGCGCGCCGCACTCGGCAGCTTCTTCATGTCGTCGAGTTTCGCCGGGGTGGCCGCCGCCGCCGTCGTCACGGTTGGAATGAGTAAAGTTTGTGTCTTTTGCGTGGTGGTGAGCAGACGCAGTTGCGCCTGCGCCTGTGCCTGCGCCAACGCTTGCGCCTGCACTTGTTGTACGTGTTGTTGTTGCGCCTGCGCTTGCGCTGCGGCCGCAGCGGCAGCTGCTGCCTGCTTTTGTTTTTGTATTTTCGCCTCCAGTTGCTGCTTCACGACCATCTTCTGACTCATCGCTTGCGGTGTCACCGCTGTAGTGTTACTGTTGGCGATGGCTTTGTGTGCGGCCACATTTGTGGCATTGGCCTTGGTGGCATGAGATTTGACTGTGACCACTTTAGTGGCTGGCAACGTTATGTTCTCTTTTATCTGCGGCAGCATAGCGAGCGGTGCGCAATGCGGTGCGGTTGTGGTGGTGATCAGCGTTATCTGCTGCGTGGGCAGTGCGTTCACCACCTGCGCGGTCACCGTCTGTTGTTGAGAATGTTGCAGATGCTTCTGCTGTTGGCTGCTTTGTTGTTGCTTCTGTCGCATTTGCTGCAACTCCTGCTGAGAGCGTTGTAGTTGGCGCTGCAGCTCATCGATTTGGCGCTTTTGTTCGCGCACCAAGTCGTCGTTCGTTAAAATTATGGTAGCGGCCTGCGGTTTCGGCTGTAGTATGGTTTGCAGCGGCACCGGACGCGGCGAGTCTACTTGCTGTACTATGTCCATTTGCTCATGCTCGAGATTACGGCGCTCTGGTGACATGGTAGCAGGATGCGGTGAGTTGACAATCATGGGAACGGGCAGCTCGGCGCTTATTGCCGTATTGGTGGCGTCCATCGCTTCAGCGCCTGTAGTGGAAATCATCTCGGACGAGGCTGTGGAAGCCGGTGTGTTCACAATTGTCGAGCACTCGGTGACGTCAAGCGGTAGATATGGTTTGAGACGCTCTATTAGTTGCGGCTTGGGACCCGATACAGGCAGATTGCGTCGCTTCAGATGCATTTTCAAATCGGATACTTTCATCTTTTCCAGCCGTGAGATATCTGTCACGGAGCAGGTAGACTCGGCGTAACTCGTGGCCGGACTCGGTGGTATGGAAGAAGTAATTGAAAGTGCCGGCGATGGTAGCGGCGGTGGACGTGGCGTGGAAATTATGGAAAATGTCGAGTTAGCCGGTGATGCTGTGCTGCTCGCGCCTTCGCTTACCGCCGTAACATTGGACAAGGGTGTCGCTGGTGCTGGTGAGGGCAGCGCTGTTGACAGTTTTGTGGCTGTTGCTGCAGTTGTGGCCGCTGTTGCATTCGACTTAGCCACTGTTGTGACCAAACCACCATTTGCAGAAGCATTGATGCTACTGCTTGCTGCTGCCGCACTGGCTGCTGGCACGATAGACTGATTCTTGTTGAGTGTCTCAAGAAATTTGAGCAAGCAATTCTGCTGTTCCAACATCAGTTGATAGGATGTCTCCTCCGGTTGACTGCTTTCGCTGCTTAATTTCTGCGATGCATTCGGCGGCCCCTTATACTCGTGAAATTTAATTGTACGCGCCTTGCAGGCCGGCTTTGACTTTGATTTCTTGCGATTCTTCTCCTTACCTGGCGCGTCTGATTTTGCCAGCGACAACTGACAACTCAATGGCGGTAGTGATGTGAGTGTTTGTGGTGGCGAAGCAATGGAGGATAGTGGGCTTAGTGTCGATGTGGTCGACGTTAGCGAAGCAGGTGAGGAGACCATCGACAAAAAGCTACCTCCAGGGCTAGCTGATGGCCCGGCCACCGACTGGCAGAGTTCCTCAAAGAGATTCGCTGTTTCTTGTTTCACCTGTACGCTACTGGCGATAGACACCGCTGGCGGTGGTGGTGGCGGCGGCGGTGGCACCGCATTCACTTTCAACGCTGGTGCGCTACTCTGTAAGATCGGCGCAGATGTCACGACCACCTGACCACCGCTTGTAGGTATGGTGAGCGCTACAGTTACTATGCCTGCCGAAGCAGCAGCCACTTGCAGCGCATCGCTAGCGCCGTCGCATGCAGCTTGCTCATCAGCGCGTGGTGGCGTCTGACGCGTATCGCTTTCTGAGCTCTGTGAGTCGTCCTCGTATGTCACATAACTGTGTGGATGCTGTGGTCGCGTTAGTAGTCCTTCACTTGTGGCTTTAAATGACACAAGACCCTCTTTGACAATTTTCTCAATGGGTTTTTCTGTGTGTAGGATATTCTTCTTGATGAGCTCGAGCGGTCCGGGCCGGTGCTGTATCTGTGAGTTCAGCTGATCGGCTAAGCGTGCTTTCTTCAGCATGCGCTGTTTCTCCGCCAAGCTCGGATCGATGTGACACTCATCCTCCTCCAATATATGACGCCGCTCCAGGTCTTCGCGATTCGGACGCTGCTGTATTTTGGCCTTCAGCAAATCGCTGGTCTTGGCACGCTCCAGCTGTTTGCATTGCTCGTGTATGGCGGGTGAGGTTTTCAAGGCTGCAAACAAGAAGAGCGATATAAATAACATGTCTTACTAAGAATTATAACATCCTACGAAAAGCAAATACGCTTAAATCTTAGCTAAACTCTCGCTTACAAAAACAAAGCTTGACATTTAAAAAGCGAAGTGCTCTGGAAGTAAAACTCGGTGCGCCATCTGTCTACCCAGTCTCATACATATGTACTGCACTACGCCTAAAAATATGTGCTGTCAAACACAAATGCCTAAGGCATTAATCCTCCTTCAAACGTGCAAATCAAGATATATTCGTATTTAAATGAGTACGTAATGTAGGCGTGAAAGATGGTGGCGGCAATTTAAATTCAAATTGAATACGAATTTTATTTATATACACACCCATTACTTGCTTTTGCCAGAGCGAATAGCTTCGCGGCATTTTACCTTTGTTTGCATAAACGTCTACAATGTCTGCCGCCGAAAAGTGCCTGCCAAATCCCAAAACCTGAATAATATTTAAGAAGCAGCCGTGGCAAATATTGATGACCAGATGAGAAAAGAGAACTACCATTACAGAGAGGAAACGCTAAGCACTGCTTTGAAAGCCAATTTAAAATTTAATGTTAGCTAAATAAATTTTTGGGGTGGGTTTATTTTAGAAGACATTATTGGTAGTGTAATTTTATAACACTAAACGTTGGAATACAAGTATTTGAGAAGCCGCCGAAGAAATATCGCTTACAGAAAATACTCAAATTCTGGTATGCAAAATAAATCAAGCATCGCACGTAACCTCATCGATATTTAGATGAAACCGATAATAAAGCTCTACTTCCAACCTAGAATTTCATTTATATTCAATATCGATTCATTATGGACTGATTGGACTTCAACACTTTTCGTGATCCATGAATAATTCAACGTCTATTTTTGAAAAGCACATACACTCAAGCCTTCTTAAAATCTATACAATCGTTGAAAGGAAAACTCAACCAAACCTTCTTCAAATGTAATAAGATCATTGAGAGTAAAACTCTTAAGCATTGCTCTTGAAAAAATATTACATTAAAACAGAAAGTACAATTCTAACGCTACGGATTATGAAAAACATCTTTTTGAGAAGACAAGTAAATGATTTTATCCACAACTCTGAAGAACAAAAAGCATAAAAGAAATTATTCGAAAGTCTACAAAACGATACCTAAAAAACTCTATTAAATGCGGCCGTCATCACTAGACAGCGCGCAAGAAATTAAATAATATTTTTACATTTCATGTGATGAAGTCGAGCAATGTAAAGCATTTTAAAAGTACTCAACCAAACTAGGCGCCAAAGCGTGCATTTTGGGACATTTATTTTTATGCGCTATATTTTCATAAACTAATAGCTGGTCATTGGGGGGTTGTATTTATTTAGCTAAATGGCTTGGAAAACAAATGTCAACTTGCAGACTGACAGCAAAATATGTCTACTGCAGATGTAAGAATTTATATTCGCTTTCATGCTATAATGATTTTTTAATATAATATTTTGGTAATTACTCGTAAGTTTTGTTTAAACGACACATTGCTAGACGTGTTTTTCGATATAATGGAATTTTGAAGAATACACCTAATATTTTATATAAAACCAATATGAACATTTGGTTAGTAACCATTGCTACCAATCTAAGATTGCTCGCATAGTTCTGGTTTGATAAAAACATCTGTACTCAAGCTTAATTTCAAGTTTTTTGTTAATAATTTTAGTGTTAACTGATTTTTGCTTTGTTTAGTAGTGTAACATATTTTGGGCTACTACCAGATTTCCAATAATATATTTAAAGATAACTTCGTTTGGAATACTAAAAATTTTGAGAAGAAATTAAGCTAAAAGGGGCGAACTTTGACCGGGGAAAAAACAAAAAACCGATGAGCAGACTGAAGTCATGACAAATAACCACACCTTAGATCGAGAGTAATTCTTAGACATAACTGTGGGGGTCATGTCTGTTATAAGTATGTTAGATGCAATACATTGTGACAAAAAACATACGGATTTTTTTTTTTAATGTAGTCTGCTGAGTTGATAGTACTGTTATTAATATATTAAATATTAGCGCAATCTGTCAACCAGTTTTTTTTTGCAGTAGCTGCTTAAGTCGGTACACCTCAGTACAATAGTTTTGTCTCAAATTATGTATTTCTAACCGAATTTCGGAATCGTTGTGGATGTTGGAAAAGGCTTACGGTGATTCAGTTTTGTCAAAAACACAAGCCTACGAGTGGAGCAAAGGCTTCAAAGACGGTCGAGAGATTGTTGAAGACAGGACTCGTTCTGGACGACCTTCGACAACTTCAACTGATGAAAATTTTAATCAAAAATGGACGTGCTGCTTGAAAATCGTCAAGCAAAGGATAGAGGAATGGAAAGAGAGCTCGACATCTCTCTCTCGGTCCGTTCAAATGATTTTGGTGGAAATTTCTCGTATGGAATGCGTTCTTGCTCGACTAATTTTGATATAGCTGATTTTTTTCAAAAACAGTACCGTAAACAGGTCTCTTTGAAAAGGTTTGAACGGCGAACTCTGATGCCACATTTATGGAGAGCATTATAACTACCGATGAGATGTGAGTTTGACATGCAACAATCATGGAGGGGAAAAAACGAGCTTAAACCGAAAAAAAAACCATGCCAAAGCCGCTCAAAAATCATATTGAGGCGTTTGCGTAAGAACATTCAACGAAAACCGAGGGAATTTTGGAATGGATGAACTTTGATGAATTTTAATCGATGATAATATACAATTGGGACCGAATTGAAAGCCAAAAACGCAATGAAAGCCATCGATCAGCCACCATATTCGCCAGAATTCGTAAGGTGTTATCTTTCTTTTTGGTTCCTAAGCTGGATTTATGGCTCCTTGGAAACCGTTGTCGAGCGATCGAAGAGATAAAACAAAACTCGTTAAAGGAGCTGAAGGTCATCCCAAAAAGTGCTTTTGAAAAGTGTTTCCCGCACGGGAAACGTCGTTGGCAAAAGTGTATTACATCTGGTGAGGAGTACTTTGAAAGCGACAAATTAAATATTAATGAATAATTTATTTACAATTCTGCGTACTCATACTGTATAACAGACAGGACTTTCAACTCCAGGTCGCACCTTTTTCATTTGAAACAAATTACTTTCCTCGATAGTATAGTAATCAGTATCATAAATATTGTAACACTTCCACCTGTATAATATAATACTTTCAACTCAATTTTTCATCTTTTCATTTGTTGCATTTGTAGCAAGTTTCTTTCCTCAATAGTATAGCGATCAGTATCAGCACCAAGCCTTTAATCGAGTCGCAGACACCAAATGAACACCAAATGAGAGAGTCACATAATGGAGGCAAACAATAGAACCGCACAGATGAAGCGTTCTTATTATACATATGAGTACATAACCAATTGATATATATTATATATAAAATAATACTAAGAAACCACTACCACCATAAGAACTTTTTACAATGCCAAACAAAACACTACATTTGTCACTACAAATGAAAAGACAAAAAATAAGCTAAAACACGGTACGGTCTGTTGATACTTACGCGGTATGATTCCCTGTTCGACGAGCTGTGAATGTGGTCGTCTCACCATTAATTTCACTTTAAGCGCTGCATCGACCAACCAAATCGTAACCACATATCACAGGATTTGCGTTGTAAGCCAAGTCACAAGTGACCGGTCAGCGAGCATGAACATTTGCACATTTTCATGTCATTTGTTGCATTTGATCATTTGATGTAAGCGAAAGCGACGAAGAGCAGCACAATAATATAAAAGAAGGAAGAAAGAAAAAATAGTAATGCATGAGTTAACCATAAGCTGTTACACAAGAGACTTGTGAGATAAATAGTTGTTGCTTCTAAATATACAGTGTTTGTAGACAACGGAGACGCAATGTGCGTGTACCTGGACAAGTTGTGTCCAGTACTTATTTAAGAACCACTGTCAACCGAGGCTGCGGTCGTGGTGAAACGGAAGTTTCGGTAGCTTAAATTGCAATAAATACAATAATAACAATAAACATTTATGTCGAGAATGAATGGATCAGAGCGGAAGTTTACAAATATTGAGGATTTTCGGCTGGATTTTGCACAAATTAAATTACGAAACTGAAAATATTAAATTCTGAATTTTGACATCCGTTCGAGCGACTTCCTGACACAACACAATAACAATAAAAGAATGCCACCGCCCTTTCAATTACACTGACACACAAACACACACATAATTTTGCTGACAGTTGGAGCATAAGTAAGTGGAGAACGCCAGCTGTGCTGGGTGATAAAAACCAAGAGTCAAATAAAGAAAAACAAAAAAAAATTAATTAAAACAAAGCACAAAACCACACAAAGTGATGTAAACAAAACAAAAGCAATAAAACAGAGAACAACGTTAATAAAAAAAAAATATTACTTTATGTGTGGGTGGCATACAAACAGAAGGCATAATAATATGAATGCATGTACAGTAAAATACAACACTGGAAGGACATGTCGGTAAATGAAATCGAAATATCAAATAGTGAAGAACCTTCGAAATTGGGGCTTTCGAGAATATGTTAACTGCAATAAACGAATATAATAAAAAAAATGGAAGTCAATAAATGGAAGGAAATATATTATAATAGAATCTCATTTATTGAAAAACCAGTAGTTTATGAAACCAGAAATACTCCTAAAAATTGGTTTCAAAAATTTCGACAAAGCTTTTTGAACCTGTAACCAAACCATAGAAGTGTCTAATTACGATTCAAGGCTGTTGATGATTGAAAGTATGACATTCAAAATATTTCTAGACTTGCGAAATCTGCTTACACTTCGTCTTCTTCGTGACAAATGTGAGAACTACCGATTCTCTGGAATTATCTCGAGTCTTCTTTACAGCAAATAAATTATCCAGCTCAAAACAGCATGTTTCAACGAGTGATTCAAAAAAATAATTACCTTCAAGATTCATCTTTAAATACTTGTAAAGTTTTGCGCCAGTTTAGCTTAGCTTTCTTGAGAAAGCCCCAAGAAAACACGAAAGTATCTCACAATTTAAACGTAGATGCATCAACAAAATAATCGCGCATAATAATGCACGCAAGAAATATGGAAAATTCAGATTATATCTAGCAAGTTAAGAATAGAGCTTAATCTCTCGCCAGTAGCAACTAAAAACGCAAGATTTTTCCTAAGAGCTGGCACGTCTTGTCCAGATATTTATAATACGGATATATAGACCATTGAGTCACGAATTAAAGCATTTTTTGAAAAATAGAGAGCCGTATCAGAGAATAACATAATATTTATTCTAATGATAGATTACTGAAGTTCTAGACTCGAACGACAAACTAACCTTCTGGCTTGATGGGGCCAGAACCATGCATTGCGGTGTGGTCCCACAACCTAAAGGAGTTACTTCGCACGGAGAGAGTGAGTGAGGAGAGAACGGCACTGGCTGCAAGGAGGAATGCACCACGCCTAGTTACTAACGGGAGGTTACGACCTTGCAAGGTTTAGAGATAAGAGCAATCTCTTCTAAGACAAATTACATATCCTTGTCGCAATCTAAACTGAGCACTGCAGGCTCAAGAAACACTTGTCCTACATGGTCATAGTCTCTTATGTACAGTGCCAGTTTTGCAACATCGAAAGAAAACTCTAGAAAACCTGATTCTATCAGGGATCATACCACCTTCATCGCAAGATCCTGGAATTTAGTGCCGGCACTTTGTGACCACATCCGATATAGGAGAAGGCTCAATAGAACATGAGCCATAGTGCAATACCTCATTTATTTTTCATCTATATAATTTCTATATTCTCTTAATTGCAAAGTACAGTTTACTTAGCGTTTTTGTGGAGATCTTAAACTTAAGTTTCGATTCTTCATGAAAGGTGAAGGGCTCAATTTGCAGATACATACCATGTAAAATTGATACAGAACCTAATATTTATTCTGACATAGTGTTAAAACTTAGGCAACGGTACAGCTATGCGAACCCATTTACTGTGGATCAAACAGTATTGCAGCGATTACAATATTGTTTGTCTGCTGCATATCAAACTCAGAGAGTGGACTATATGTAAAGCAATATCAGCAAAGAATAGTAAAATCACAGTTGCGGAACATAGACAAATAGTCTTGAGCTGGCAATATCCTTTTCATGTTCAGTAGTTTGATACAACCTATCTAAAAAAATAGCCGGACTTTTCTAAGAATTTCTTCTTTAAGATGATTTAAAAGATTAAAGAAATCAGACCTTATCATTGCCTGACTTTTTCTCTATACGGAGAAGTGTCTTAGAGGGATGCAATTGAAATTGATGCCAAAGCAAAAACTCAAAAAAGGTTCGGGGTTAAGAGCATAAAGTCTTAGAAAAGACAAAAATAATTTGTCACAACTAGGAAACCGCGCTGACAGGATAGCATAACACTAAATAATGCGCCGCAAAACATAATTAATGGTAGAGGCAATATTAACAAGGGCAACGCGCTGTACCCAGACGAAAGCAAAATGAGAACTGCCACCAAACGACTAGCAGTGAGTAATCAAAAATTTTTAAGACAAAAATATGCGTGAGCAAAAAAATGTCTAATAGTAAGGAGTGCGAAAATGGGAGAGTAGAAATGAAACACAAAATTAAGGAATTAAAACGCAGTAAAATAAACACGAACACACTCAAAAACATATAAAAAGCCATAGGCGGCATTGACGAAAATAAAAGCAAATAGACAAAAGTTTAGACCGATTTGAAGGCGCTGTTGATTTGCGCCACAGTCAGTGTCAAGTTTTAATTTATTTATTTAGACTGCGTGGCAGTAGATGCGGTAGCAAAGGACATGCTTGCAGCCGCCGCAGTTAGTTATATGAGCCAGAGGACAAGTCGTGGCCCTAATAAACAGCCTAAATGAATTTGAAAAGGCGAGAAATAGCCTAGAAGTTCATATTTTTAAGACGTCCTAAAACAGACAAATGTAAATAAAACCCGCCGAGGCCGTCAACGTCATGACAAGGCGCATAAGCATGAAATGAAATTAACACATATTTTTCAAGCTTCATGAGTTTATGAAATTGAAATTATTCGGTAGTTGCTTACTGCTCCAAATTAAGCTTTGCACAAACTGCTGGCTGTATTAAGTTTTTCAGGCTAGTGCAGATGTGTTGAATTAAAAAAAATTACATTTTGAGCTAGTGAAAAATTTTGCTCATCATACGCAATGGAGTACTTGGATATATTGCATACTTAATTAAGATTTTTGTGGCACTCTCTAAATGTGTATGCCTTTAAGTCACTGTCATACGGTAGAATATAAGAATTGAAGGGCATTATTATAATTAGAATTAGTAGAAAGCTTTTAAATGCTTGCAGATTCATTTCATTTCACTCAACTAGTTCACGGGAGCTTGTAATTCTCAACCATAATAAAAACTACGTTTAACGAGTACTTATAAATTTATAATTTATCCAATAAGTAAGTAATGTAAAAGAAACTCTTTCACTTCTTTTCACTTTTCCACCCACTTATACAATACATACTATAAGTGTCGATATGTTTCATTTTTAGATTTCTTTTTGGCAACTAAAGTGAACAGATAGACCAGAAGTATTCACTCTTTCGAAGTACTAAAAGCAGAAAATAAAGTACTTAAGTGGAAAACTTAACCACGGGGGGTTTGTGGCGTCAAATGAAGCAGTTTGAGAGTGCTATAACAAAGAAACTAACAAAAAAAAAAAAAAACATTGAACAGAATGAGAAAATATAACGTGAAAATAACACTAAGCAACTAAAAGCAAGGAAAAAAGAAAAACGTTGTTTAAAAAATTTTTATATTTTGGGTATTAATCTTTTATTAATGTGATAATACCATTATAACCACGTAAGGGTCTACGCCAATACAGAAGAGTAGAAGGTGCCGTGAGTGAGAAAGAGAAGTGTTACAAATTTCTTGTCAAACCTAAAGTACCTGCACAGAGGGAGTTTCATTACTTTGTTGGCACTTTTTTGTTTTCATGACAGCCTTAATACGTCGTGGCATAGAATCCACTAAATTTTGTCAAAAACATGTACATTTTTCATAATTTACTGAAACTTTTCTAAAGTTTTTGGTTTCTTCTTCGTTACTTTAACTTTTAAAGGTTTCCGATTGGCTTCAGTTCTACTACTACTACTGTCTGGCCAGTTCAATCGAGTTATTCATTCTTTCTCCTAATATTTTTTTGCCAAAAGAATAAATAAAAAATCATTTAAAATTCAAAGCTTTGCTATTTTCTATGTAATAAGTATACAAAATAAATAGAAATATAATTTAACGTTTTTGCAAGATGAAAAAGCAAGGCCCCATATTTAAAGAGCAACTCCATAGTATTCCGCATACTCCTCGTTTCATGGCCTTTTCTCCCACTTTACGTCCCAATTACGATATACCATCCGAGTCGAAATCTTTTTCTTTTTTTTTTTTGGATTCATTAGAAAAACTAGTGTTTCTCAAATAATTTAATATTCATAATATGTGTATTTCAGCACATCGTAGCCGTTTCTTGACGCATTTTAAGGGTAAAATATTTTTTTTACCCGGCGCCTGCTGAATTCAGCCTCTTTAAGGCGATTTCGTACAAACG